AAAGGAAAGGAAAGGAAAGGAAAACTTCAGCGGTATCCTGTTATCTTATGAGAATATATTTTTAATTACTATAAATATCAGTTTTGTAGATTAGCTTTAGTTTAATCTTATTAAGCGGTTCTCGATTTAATCCTTCACCTCCAGGAAATCATTAAGATAAAGAATTAAAAGTGAAGACGTGTTTTGTATACGGAATTGTTTGATAATATGTTTTTGATGGAACATAAGTCTTCGTAATTATCGACTCTACACCTCAGTTCTGGGTGTGTTTATTTTTTCGCGCGCCATCAAATATAGAAATAACCAGGTGATATTCCTTCCTCCCAGCCAGACCGAATCACCCAATGTCAATATTTTTTATTTTCTATATTTTAAATATAGCATATTTCACCGTCGTTGGTAGAAAATATTTTGCCTTGGCGAGAAATAATTGAAAATACTTGGGAAATTTGGCTGTGACGAACAATGCATTTGCGCGCCTAGATTCCAAATACCCGAGATCTCAATCAAGTTAAGACTGCATGAATTCCACTGCAGGCTATTGCTTCGAATGGTATATCATTTTCACCGCCAAAGCAGCCATTCACCTCATGCACGCGGTTAAGTTTTGGGAACACGAGTTTTGCCTCCGGCATGTGCTCTAGCACTAATTGAACTTAATACCATATAGCCAACAACTGTAATAAATTGATACATTCATAACCAATATTTATCATGAAATGATACATTTCCCCAAAACTCAAAAACTCCCCGGTTCTCATAAAACCAGTTCAAGTGAAGGGAAAGTGGGCTTTCCCTCCCAGTCGCATCCCATTTCGCATGAATGGACGTAGAGGGTCAAAACGCATAACGCATAAAATTTAACGAGGTAAATGCACCCATTAGCCGAGCCGGACCAGGAACAGTCCGAAGGCAGGTTATAGGGGGTTGATTTAGATTGTCCTTCTGGTCCAGCAAGGCAGTAGATGGCCCTCCTGAATAGGCTAACGGTCGACACACGACCAGAATACGAAACTGGGTCGACACAGACCCGATACCTGTTCAATTGGCCTTACGATCGACAAACGACCAGACAACAAATTTAGCCGAGCTTAGGGTCGCCACACGACCGAACTACCGAAACACGGTCGAAACACGACCAGACCATAAGTTTAACTAAAGGCCGACACACGACCAGACCAATGAAGCATGTAATACACAACATGTTATACATAACCCTTAAAATCGAACTAAGCCGAATCTTCTAACGAGCAGGTTTAATAAATACATAACAATTAATAACCGTAATAACTACGGTACAGCCATGACAAGGGAGTAAAGCGGTGACTACGTGAAAATATAAAAATTTGGGCTTAACAGGCTAAACAGTAAAAACAAAGCTTGACTGAACTACTAGGGACCATGCAAACACACGTGTCGGGACCGCATACATGAAAATATCAAATACAAAGAAAAACTAGAGTTCATGTCAAAGTGAGCATGGACTCCGAAACCGAAATGGAGCTGGACTGAACTACCACCAAGCACACATGCACGGCCAAATAAATCTTAGAACGATGCCAAGAATCGAGCGAAGCCCGTAAACATGACGTGAAACAATCAAATAATTACCTCGACGGCTGTTGGTACTGGACGGCAATGTTGTATAGGGAAGCTTCGGCGACGTTTGTACGGAAAAACCAAGGAAAAAATCCATCTAGCACTGACTGGTACAGCGAACCTGAGCAAATGAGGTCGAAGCCTTGGATTTTCTCGCTTGAATAGGCAACTGCCGACCCGGGGGCATTCATGATGCTTCTCACCTAGGAATCACACCCAGAAAGTCATGATAACATACCGCGCATACTCGTTTCATGGCTGCTTTAGGGGTGAAAATAGGAACGCATGTATTGATTTCTCTGTTTTCCGGTTTAGATGCTAGATCGAAGTTAAATATTTAGACATTGAAGGACAGTGGCGAACTAGTAGACAAACCCCAACTCTCTTAGCTTCTTCTAAACGCATATAATTATTTGCAGGCGTAAAGAGAAATAGCGATTAAACAGCGATAAGATTCAAAACAATTGCACACCCTGCGTGTCTTGAAAGCCGAAGACGCAGGAGATAACGTAAAAAAGGCATCCATTTTCGCTCATTTCTTTAAGGGAAATAGTTGTGGGAATAGCTCGTTCTCAATCTTAAAACGCGCTCTGAATAATAATTAAATTTAGTTACTGATTCCTTGAAGTGAACAAAAAAAAGATGATGAGCGGAAGAGAAAAACTAGTGCCCAAGATGTGCTATACGCTTTTTTTTTCCCTTTTTTTTTTTTTTTTTTTTTTTTTTTGACAATTTTTAATTCACAGTACGAACGGAACATCAAACTAAAATGCCTAACCATTTTGATATATGTCAGTGTGTCCGATGTCTCTAGAGGGTTTTAACATGTTTTCATTGTGATTGCAGATAGTGAATGCGGCGGCATTGTCTGTCCAACCGAAAACCAGCAGTGTATATCAGGCCAATGCGTGTGCATTCCTGGGACCACTTGTATAACCAACAGGTAACTGGCTCAGTTTGGAATTTGGTGTGGGAACCTCGTAGGGGACACTATTACCTATTGTTCCCTCACCGGTGAATTTTTTCTGTACGAATATAAATAAATAAATAAATGCTAAAAGTAGATACATAGGAAACCATTAGGAACTTATTCCCGTGTGCTCGATCTTCACTTCCTTTTACTTGGCTAGCTCAGTTAGGGTAGTATATAATGTACAACATGTTAAAAGTAGATGCATAGGAACTCATTAGGAGCTTATTCCCGTGTGCTCAATCTTTAGTTCCTTTTAGTTGGCTAGCTCAGTTAGGGTAGTATATAGTGAACAACATGTAAAAAGTAGATGCATAGGAACTCATTAGGAACTTATTCCCGTGTGCTCGATCTTTAGTTCCTTTTACTTGGCTTGCTCAGTTAGGGTAGTATATAATGTACAACATGTTAAGAGTAGATACATAGGAACTCATTAGGAACTTATTCTCGTGTGCTCGATCTTTAGTTCCTTTTAGTTGGCGTATGTTCTACATATCACAAGTGATAGCATCCTGAGAATCGATATCATTTTTACTGCAGTTTTCAGTTTTATGCGAACTCGTCAATTACAAGCTGGTTTTCCGCTTCCGTCAATCGTATTATTCAATAATCAGTTTGTACCTTATACATTTTTGACTGGCGGTAGTGAAAATTCCAACGGGCAACTCGCAACTTGCAACCCTGAGTTCGTGTAATATTGAAAGTAGCGGTACTAATGTTTAATCAGCGTGCGTTATATGAAAAGGTATTGACAAGCATTCGTTTTCCCACTAACACGCAATCACTGGAATGAGTCAGATGGCTTTAAAACAACGTTTTTTTACAACCACCACTCCCGTACGGGGCTCTTCCGTGAGGTTCCCTCCACACGGGATATTGGATGAAGCGTTTTTATTGGCTCTTTTTCATGGGGCGGAGACAAATATAAATGGTGTACACAGTGCGATATGGAAACTTTACCTTGTTCCCATGACGTATATAATTTTTTTCGAATGATTTTGTTTTAGAATTAGCAAGGATAAATTATTGTTTATTCATCAACAAGAAATGTTTTATAAAAAAATGGCAGCGCGAGTTTGAGAATGTAAGGGAGAGTATCTCTGCAACAAAAGTGTCCCCAACTTATATGTCACAACTACCCATTTCACAGAAATTAAAGCTACTTGTGCGTAGGTTTATCCTAAGATACCAAACCAAACCTCGATCAAAAAAGATTCATAACTTCCATACAATTACAATTAATATGCACATGATGAGAATCACATTATAGTAAATCGTTTATTATTAGATTAAATAAATGTAAATGAATAATTATAAATAACTGAATTCTATTTGTTAATAAACTTGATTAAACACTTGGTTTATTTTTACATAGTTTTAGAAACCTTTTTGAAGATACTAGCTTTTTTATGCTAGAAATCCCTCGCATCTCCTCACAGGTAGCCCAAGCTAGGTTTCTGTAGTGTCATATGATTAGAAAATGTAAGGCGATAGATACTTAAAAAACAGCGAGGAAAAAAACTTTAAATCTGAAGTACTACTTTTCAAAAAGCTAGCTAAGATTTCTTTACTTTATTTCACATCTTGACATATTTATTGACCTTTTTTAGTACCGCCAACCGTTTTCTTATAATATGACACCACAAGAACCTAGCTTGGGTTACCTGTGATCTCCTTGAATATCTTGATCGTTTTATTTATATGCAATATCTCATATAGAGGCTTTGCACCATCACGTAAGGTCAGCCATGTTAAATGGCAAGGACAACATTGTTCTACATGAAAAATAATTCAATTCCCTTGAGAAAAGGAATTTTATTTTTGTGCCATCTAACCACAGGCAGTCCACGCTGTATTATGGGCGTGGGCACGTGATGGTGCAAAACCTATTTAGTGTCCGCTAGAGATTTTTACATTTATGGAGCTGCAAATGAAATAAAAGGGAATTGTTAATGAATTATGTAATATAATTAAGGTTCATTTTCAATATTCTATTCGAATGGATCGATAATGGCTCTTAAAACTGATTAGTGTACTACTTGTGGTATGCTAGAAGAGCTACAAGAAAATAACTTTTACGTATGCTTGTATTTTGAGCCTCTTATTGCCCTAATTGTTAGTGATCACTCAATTACTGAAGTGATTTAATTTGGGCTGTTAGGGAATTTTGCTTGGTCATAATGCATATAGCTGGTTTAAAGGTATGGATTTGGATCCGGAAAGAGAATAAAAGGTGTTCATGGTTTTTTTCGTATCTTTGCTTAAAGAGTATCAAGCCAACAATACGAAAATAGCAAATAGGCAACAGCGCTCGGTCTCTCGATTGATATGAACATATATCTTGATACATATTACTTACTCATTACTGGAATACATTTTTGTTTGACCAGCATAAACCCAGGAACGCACTCACAGCCGTTATCAACGCACATTGCATTTACTGGGCAAATAGGACATACGCTTTCTAAAACACAAACAAATGTATTTCTCAACAATATTTCCTTTCAATATATGTATGTCCTAATCCTATATTGCACTATCCCACACGTCCTCCCTATGTATGTATGCCCCATTCCTATTGCACTTTCCCTTATGTCTTTCTATGTATGTATGTCCCATTCCTATTGCACTATTCCTCATGCCTTTCTATGTATGTATGTCCCATTCCTATTGCACTATTCCTCATGCCTT